CCCAGGAGCCCCGCCTCCTCCGCAGCCCCGCCCACCTCCCCAGGAACCCCGCCTCCTGCATAGCCCCGCCCACATACCGGCTTCCTCAACAGCTCCGCCCACTTTCCCCCCGCCCCAGGAACCCCGCCTCCTGCGTAGCCCCGCCCACGGCCCCGCCTGGACCCCAGGAGCTCCGCCTCCTCTACAGTCCCGCCCACAGCCCAGGGGCCTCCAGGGGCCATCTCCTGCGCAGCCCGGCCCACAGCCCCTCTCCCCCTTCTCCTGCGCAGCCCCGCCCACAGCCCCGCTGGGCTGAAAGGGCCCCGCCTCCTGTGCAGGCCCCGCCCATGCATTGACCACTCACTCCTTGGCCAGCCCACACTCCGCTGGTCACACCCACCCCCCGCCCGCCGCACCCCCCACCCTGTCCTCCACGGTCCTTTGCTTTCAGGGCCGCAGACCGCCCCTGCTTGGCTACACCCCAGACACCCGGTCTTCTTGGCTTCGCTCCAAGGCACCCCCTTGGACCTCTCCCTTCACTGTCCCTCTTCCACACTGGTTGTAACCCTAACCCTAACCCTAACCCTGACTCACACTGGTTGCGTCCCAGGGCTGGCCACAGCTGCCCTCAGGTGAGGGCCCCACCTTCTGAGGTCCCTCCCCGTGTCTCCGTCCCGCCCCTAGCTCCACTGGTCTCGGAGCGATGAGCCGGCCGCACAGGATGGAGCGAGAAGCGCCGCTGCTGTGCGCTGCAGGCGCCTTTGGACGGGTCCGGCGCCTTCTGGCCGCCGCCTCGTGGCTGCCCAGCGTGGCGCTGGGGCTGGCGATGAGCTCGGAGCCACTGCTCATGGCGCGGCCGGTGCACCACTGCCGGCCAGACCCGGCGCTGCTGCCGCCGGTGCTGCGTGCCCTGGACGGGCCGGCGCTGCTCCAGGCCAGCGTGCCGCGTGTCGGGCCCGCGCGCGCCTGGAGCCCCTGCCTGCTGCTGCGCTACCCGGAGCCTGGCGCCCCAAACCCAAACGTCACGCCCGCGCCCAATGGCACGCGGCCCTGCACGCGCGGCTGGGAGTATACGCTGCCCACTGCTGGCCTGCTGCGCAGCCCGGTCACCCAGGTGTGTGCAACTGTCGCCGAGGGCAGCAAAATGGGAGGCAGCGGGGAGTGCAAGAGTTGAGCTGGGGGCTAGGGCTCTGAGGAGGACTCCTCTGCCGGTCTAGTGGGGCTCTCACTTGCTAACTGAAGGCTGGGAATGGACACGTCCTGCCTGACGTTAACCTGAACAGGTGCCCAAGTGTCCAGAGGAGGAGGAGGCTCTTTTCAGGTACCGAGACCACAGTCCCAGCCTCCTAGTTGGAACCCAGAGAGCCGAGGCAGGCTAAGGAAGCCGTTGTTGCGAGCAGGTGGGCAGCGAGGCTGTCATGTGCTTCCACACCACAGGCATCTTGGGCAACGCCTATGGCGTAGGCTACACGCAGGGGGTATCTGAACTTTACATTCAAGCTGGAGACACGGGTCTAGTTGGAGAGAGTGCAGGTAGACTCTGCATCTGTGACGTGTGGGCTGTGTGGGAGGCAGGGGAGCCAGTTGACAGAAGGAAACTGGGCACTCCAGGCCCACATGCTGTTCCCTTTGACACCCCTGACCCCTCACCCCTAGTCCTCAGTGTGGGAGGGGAGGGGGTTGCCACATCTTGGACAGGCTGCCCCGGGCTCTGAAACCTGCCAGGTATCTGGTCTGGACTGTCTCCTTAACCCAGCCTCCCACATGGATGGAAGGGTGCTTGTCCGCTTTCCACAAGGACCTCATTTTCTAGTAAGAACCTTGACCACACCACAACCAAAGTAGTGCACTGAGCTTGGTGAGAGGTGGCGGGAACTGGGGAGGGAGGGAGGAGGGCAGAAGGATCGGAAGGATCAAGTGCCCCTGCCTGGAACAGCCCTCAGTCCACCCTTGAGTCCACTCAGGCCAGGGTGGGGAAGGGAGGAAGCTGGCCCCACCCTGGCTGGGCAGGCAGGCGGGGCCAGTGCTCAGTTCTGATATTTGTCTTAGAGCTGAACTCAGGGTGGAAGGAGCAGGTGTGTGGTGTTTATAAACCAGTAGGTGCTGGGTTCCCTTACTCACAGGTGGGATTTAGTCAAAGTGATGGACCAGGACCACCAGGACAGAGGGGGAAGCTTACAGGGAGGCTGAGATGATACTCCCTGGAAACCTCACCATGGGGAAGGGGGACCCTAGCCACACCCCCTAATAGGTCTCCTGGGGATGGCAGGGTGTGATCCCAGTCAGGAGACCCTGCCCAGCCACAGTGACTCCTCTTCTCCCTGATCTGTGACCCTGCCCTGAGATAGCAACTCTGCCCGGTGCCAGTGACCCATCTTCTCCCCTGATCTGAGATCCTGCCCAGTGACCATGACTTGTCTTCTCCCCTGATCTAAGATACTGCCCAGTGACAGTGACCCATCTTCTCCCCAGGAAAGAGGCTGGTGCAGGACCTTCTGGACCTCCTTGCATCTCTCTTCTCAGCATGAGGAAGGGGAGGGTGGCAGCCCTCAGAAGGCCTGGCTGGCTGACAGGTGACAGGTGATCTGTGTTCCTTGCAGTGGGACCTTGTGTGTGAGGACAGCTGGAAGGTTCCTCTGGAGCAGACGGGCCACCTCCTGGGCTGGCTGCTGGGCTCTGTCCTCCTGGGCATGAGCTGTGACCGGTAAGCCTCTGCCCTTCCCCTTAGAGTGGTAATTGCATGAGGCCTCCAGGCTAACCATGTTCCCCTGCATCCCCACTGGCCCCAGCTTTGGTCGCCGGGCTGTGTTTGTGGGCTCGCTGGTGCTGGCCACAATCCTGGGTGCTGGGGAGGCCATGGCCACCAGTTTCCCTGCCCTTCTCACCCTGCGGCTGCTCCATGGGAGTGCCCTGGCAGGGGTCTCTCTGGCACTCTATGTGGCACGTGAGTACAGGGTGGAGGACCCTTCTCAAGGAACAAACTGAGTGAGGGTGTGGTGGGCATCCAGCTTGCTGGCCAGGCAGCTAGCTGACCCTTGGGTTGGGGGGTTCTCCATGCCCTTCTGCTCCCTGGTCTTGTCAGGGCACCCTCTCAAGGACCGGCCTCAGCCATTTGTCGGCCTCAGGTCTGGAACTCTGTGATCCCCCGCATCGCCTGGCGTTCTCCGTGGGCGCCAGCCTCTTCTCTGTGGTGGGCACACTGCTGCTGCCTGGCATGGCTGTACTGGCTCAGGACTGGCACCTTCTACAGGGGCTGAACACACTAGGGATGGGCATCTTGCTGCTCTTCTGGGGGTAAGCGTGGTAGGTGCTGTCCCAGCAGCCAACACAAGGGCTAAGCGTCCATGCCTCTGCCTGTCCATGCTGCCCTGGTGGGTGGCTAGAAGACACAGAGAGTCAGGACCCGGGGTGGGGTCATTGGCCTTGGCCACCCTTGTGGGGAGGACTCGAGAGATGGCAGATGAGCAGCTCAGAGACCACAGCCGCTGTCCCACCCCTGCAGGTTTCCAGCCCTGCTCCCTGAGTCTCCCTGCTGGCTGCTGGCCACAGGACAGCTGGCCCGAGCCAGAAAGATCCTATGGCATTTTGCACAGGCCAGTGGTGTGGACCCCGAGGACAGCTCCCCAGATGAGGACTGCTCCCTGGTCACAGGTGAGGACATGGTTGGGGGACTGAGGCCAGTCCCTGAAAACAGAGGAGGGGATGTGTACCCTGAGGCCCCTCTCCTCCCCGTGTCATCCTGGTAGAACTGGACCTGCTGACGTTGGGAAGCCCCCAGCCCCAGTACCACTCTGTGCTCACACTCCTGCATACCCAGGTCACCTGGAAGAACGGCCTCATCCTGGGCTTCAGTTCGTGAGGAGGGGCCAGGGGCAGGGTGGGCGGGGATCTGTGTCCTTTTCCCAGGCTGCAGACAGGACGTGGTCCCAGAACCCTCGGGGTCTGGGTGGGCCCTTAGCTTTGCCCCCACCTTGCAGGCTGATTGGTGGGGGCATCCGTGCCAGCTTCCTGCGCAGCTTGACCTCCCAGGAGCCGTCCTTCTATCTGCCATACTTCCTGGTGGCTGTGTTGGACGCCACAGCCAGTGTCTTCCTGCTTCTGACCGCAGATCGTTGGGGCCGCCGCCCAGTTCTGCTGCTGGGTACCCTGGCCACCAGCTTGGCATCCCTGCTGCTTCTCGCTGGGACCCAATGTGAGTCCTGGACTGGTGGACTGGGTAGGGTCCTCATGGGGGCACAGGTTGTCTGTGCCATGCAGGGGAGCTGACACAGCAGACCTATAGGACACTGCCCACACCTGGGCTGCCAGAGGGCAGGGCAGGGCCAGTGGATGGGCAGCTGTCCTTTTTACCCATCTACCTGCTCCTTGACACACAGAAACTGAGGTCCAGCTATGGGGGCCACAGGCTCCTATCAGGAGGGAGTGGTACCCACAGGGCGCAGCTGAGGAACCAGCTAGGGGGTTCTCTGGCTAGGATTGTATCAGAATGTAGGTGAAAGGTTGTGAAGGGCACAGCAGGCCAGCCCTGATACAAGATACAGACAGAGGCTAGAGTGCCCTGGAGGGTTGGGGCCAGCCAGTGGTGCCAGAGCTGCCCAAGCTTTGTGTAGAGAGCTCGGGCATCCAGGGTGGTGCCAGTGGGGCACCGTCGGGTGCAGGCACTATGGGGGCACTGAGGATGGCTGTGGGCTTTAGCTTGGACTTAGGAGAGCTCCCTTACCCCAAGCTATGGTGGAGTCCCTGGCGAGGTCCCTCAGCAGGAGAGGATGGGCCAGGGGCAGCTGCAGTGGGCAGCATGAGACGTTCTCATCGTCCCCAGACCTGCCCCGCTGGGTCACGCTGCTGCTCTCTGTGCTGGGCCTCCTCGCCTCCCAGGCAGTGTCCACGCTGAGCTGCCTCTTCGCTGCCGAGGTCTTCCCCACCGTCATCAGGTGAGACACCAACCCCAGCGTCCTGGCCTGTGCCTGCCCGTCCACAGTTCAAGTCCCCACTCAGGGCTGAGATCTGCCCTCATCCAGACCCCAGAGACCCTGAATGTGAAGCGGGGAGAGGGGACGGTTTGGGGAAGATCCTCTACGTTAGCATAAAGAGCAACCACCAGTCCAGTGCGGAGGAACAATTCTCGCAAGAAATCATTTTCCTTATTTATCCCTTAAGCCTCACAAACTTTGGTTCTGAGGACTGGCCTCTCCCCAGTTCAGGAACTGTCCAGGGAGCTGGCATTTCCAGACACTGGAAGTTCCAGGGCTGTGCCTGCCCTGGTGTACTTCCACTGAGCTCTCTTCCACAGGGGCGCTGGGTTGGGCCTGGTGCTGGGCACTGGCTTCCTGGGCCAGGCAGCTACGCCCCTGGCCGACATGCATGCCCGGCGTGGCTTCTTCCTCCAGCATGTGGTCTTTGCCTCCTTTGCGGTTCTCGCGCTACTCTGTGTCCTCCTGCTGCCTGAGAGCCGAGGCCGCAGGCTGCCCCAGACCTGGCAGGACGCTGAGAGCTTCCGCCGCAGGTCGCTCTTCCGGGGCCACCGCCCCTGCCACCAGGACCAAATGCCCCTGCTGCGACCCTCAGGACTTCCCTAGGCCTGCTACTGCCCAGACACACTGCTCCTGCCTGGTGACCCCTGAGCCAGGAGGAAGGGGGACAGCTGTCAGGGCCCTGGGCGCAGCCTGGATGCCATGCTGTGGGGGTGACCAGATGGACAGACTCTGCTGAAGAAAGCAGAGGGACAGCCCAAGGGTACCCTCCCTCAATCCTAGAGGCCAGCCCTATGGCACTGGAGTCTTGTTCTTGGGCCATGCCCATCAGTATGGAGGATAAAGCTGACTTTGAATTAGCATCTGCTCCTGGTTCTTCTCTGAGGAACCTATCTGGAGAAGCTTCATCCCTGCTGGACCCCCAGCAGGCCACTCTAGCTCATTACCCAGAGCCAGGGCCAAGGGCTCCCATCCCACAGAGAGGCAGTCCAAGCCAGCCTGGCTGTGTACCAAAAGGGTAGCCACCCTAGGTGACGCCGTCCTGAGGAGGCCACTCCACATCCATAAGCCAGAGGCGCCCTGCAGCATCTGAGACCTTGTCCTCTTGTCCTGAGGGTGAGGCCCCATCATGTGCCCCTCAGAGCGACTCTGGCAGCGAGCCCACACTAGAGACTGTAGCACACCATTTATTCAGATCCACCACAGGGCTTCCTTCTGGAGAACCCCAGGGTCCATAGAGGCAGGGCGGGTGTGGGAGTGGGGTGACCCACCCCAAGTCACGTTCTCCTCACATGGGGTGGGGAGACACTGCCTTTGACCACCATTTCCTGCTTCTAGTGTCCAGGGTCCTCCTGGGGAAACCAAGTGCTGTTGGGGCCCAGCGTGCTGCAGCCTCTCCCACCTGGCAGGGGTGGGGTACACCATTGGTCCCATGTCCAGGCATAGTGCCCACAGAGATAGCACCTGGCTTCACCAGCCAGGGTGGCTGGGCTAAGGCGGCGCCAGGGCCCTCCTGTACTCTGAGACACACCATTCAGGCCTCACTGGTGTCCGTACATGTCTGCCAGCCGCGCAAAGCGGGGCCCCCAGTCCCGGAGATAGTCATAGTCCTGTTCTTCGTCCCCCAGGCTGGACAGGATGGAGCTCAGTGTTCCTGCCACAGAACCGTCTCCCTCGTAGTCGTAGATGAGGGCTGTATCATAGGGTGGCACGCTGGGGTCACCATCTGCAGCCTCCAAGCCCTACAGAGGGGCCGAGGACACTCAGAGGACATGCATGGGGCCAACGTGTCCCTCACTCCCCCAGGCTAGATGACCCCTCAACCGGTGGCTGCAAGATGAAGCCACAGGGCCCCTTCCCTGTCTCCCATCCTGGAGTGCCATGTGGGCTCACTGGGCATAGACTGCAGCTACTAGAAGCCCCTCTCAGGGAGAGGCTTGAGGGGTGCAGGATCCCTCTGCAGCTGACACCCCCTGCCCTGCAGGCTGCTGCTGGCCCCTTTCCTTCAGGTAGGAAGAAGCTGGTTACCCCTGCCAGCACCCCCTCTTCCCAAAACACTATCCCTCTCTCTCCACTGAAGCAATATCAGGAGGCAGCCCCTTGCCTAGGCCCGAGATCTGCCTTTTAGAGGTTTTTAATGACCCCTCCTTCTGCGGTCTGCATCTGCCCCCTGCACACACATCCCCTCATACAATGCCAGGTACCTCCCTGAGTCAAGTTCGTCACCTGAGTCATGTCCCTGTCACCTGTGAGTCCCCTGCTCCCACACCCACCAAGGGGTCTCCAAGCTTCAGTTCATCTGGGCTGTGACTAGTAGTCTTACAGAAGCACTCAGAGTGGCGCTGTGGCTGCAGACTCGGGGCCTGGGTACAGCTCCTGCACTACGGGGTAGGGTTGTGGGCTTGCACGCAGCCATCAGGTGCTCTGTCCAGCCTGGTGATGCTCTGAAGCAGCACAGTGCATCACTTCACTCCCGGGATGTCCATGGCAGAGCTGGCCATGCCTGGAGCCACCATGCAGCACGCCTTCATGAGCACCTGGGACAGGTGCTCTAGGACTAGCCCTGTGCTGGGGGCTTGTGAGCTGCTCCCCTGACCACTGACCGCTTTGCTGCCTTCCGTGCGCATGAACACCCTCCTGGCTGAGATCAGAAGATGCCCTGGCCATGCGTCCTCCCGGCCCCTGGACACCTACATCATGGATGAAGCTGGCGATGTCGGCGGGGCTGGTGGGCAGCAGGCGGGCTGGGCCGGGCAGGCAGCCAGCTGGGGCATCACGACGCAGTGGTGGCCGCCCCAGAGGTCCACCAAGGGCCACCAGGTCTGTGGGGTGGCGCAGTTGGCTGAGGTCATAGGCATCCTGTGTGGACACGAGGATGGAACTGACCTCCGAAGCCTGGACACTTCTGGTGGCTGAAGTCAGCAGTGAGGCGAGGAAAGCCCACGGGGAGCCCCAAGGGCCCTGCACCCACACGGCAGCGCTCTGGTGGCCTCACCTGGTCCTCTTCCCCACCTCCCTGCTCATCGTAGTTGAGGATATTGTCCCGTAAGTCATCCTGGAAGATGGGCAGCAGCCCTTGGCCCAGAGACTGCCGCTGGCAGCGCGCCAGGAAGGCCACCAGCACCACGAGAACTGGATGTGGGGCACAGAGACAAGGGCAGGTCCTGCAGTGCCCAGGGACAGATGGGGTAGGGGGGTGGCTTCGAGGTGCGGGACTTGCAGCCCTGAGGGTCGCAGAGCGGGCAGGGCAGGACACAGGTCTGGGCGTTGGGGGTACCTGGGGCTTGGGGTGGTCTAGAGATGGGTTGGGCACAGGGCAGGGGACAGGTCCAGGCACTGAGGGTTCCTGGGACTTGGGGTGGAAGACAGGGCGGGTGACCTCTGGGTTCCTGGTAAGATGGGGGTGGGTGGGCCAGGGCCAGGGCCAGGTGGAGTGGTCTTGAGGCACGAGGGGATTGGTGAGGGGTCCGAGACTCACGGAGCAGCAGGATGACACTGCCCAGAACTACCAGCAGTGCGCCCAGACTGACGCCCGCGGCTCCCGAGAGCAAGGCTGCGGCCCCAGGCAGGCAGGCGCCATCGCTAGTGCAGCCACACACGCTCACATTCAGCTGGTGCTCTCGCTGCTGCGGTGGCTGGCCTGAGTCACCCAGCAGCAGGTGGATGCGGTACAGGCCCTCTGGCAGGTGGTGGCGCAGCCGCAGACGTGCATGACTCACTGGGGAAGGGGCTGTGGTCAGCTGGCTCCCGGGGGCGGGGGTCCTCCACCGCCCTCCTCCACCCCGCTGTGCCCAGGTGGGGGTAAGTGCAGGCTTCTGGGTCTCCATTCCCATCTGCCCTCAGGACGTGCTCCTAGTGAGGCCTCACCGTTGACCTGGCTGATGCTCCAGTTCTGGGCGAGCTCTGGGGTCCTAGGGCTCAGCTGGAAGTGGAAGGGGGCACCATGCGGGGGCAGGTCCTCATCGGTGGCCCCCAGGAGGAGGCCGGAGCCCCGTGCTGGCTCACTGCACAGGCTGCCGGCCAGCGTCGCTAGCAGGGGTGCATGGTCGTTCACCTCCAGGATCTCCACTGACAGGGTGCCTGTGGCCGTACTCGGTGGTGAGGCTGTAATGGGGGGGTGGGGTCACTTTGGAGCCAAATGCTCATGGCCAGGGCACATTCCTCACCTTACCGGGGCAGGAGTCCCTGCCTGGGTGAGAGACGAGGCCAACGGGCACCCACCGTCATCGCTCACGAGGATGACGGCCCGGTACCAGCCGTCCTTGAGGAAGGGGGAGGCAGGAGTGAGCACACGCTGAGTCTGGATCCGGCCGGTGGCCCTGTCCACTTGCAGCCAGTCCTCAGGGTCATAATCCTTGGAGTAGCTGTGGCAAGGACCAGGGGGAATGGGGCAGGGCAGCCTGGCCTGTGCTGGGGACTGTGGGTGTGTGGCCGTGTACCCCAACACACATTTACCGCCACACACTGACCCTAGAACAAACCCAATACCCCCAAACCACATCCCAACATAGTCATCCCAATACCCCAACATTCTCACCCCAACTCAATGCCAACACATACTCCTCCCAATAAAGCATCAAGCACACACACACGATGCTCAACCACACAGGACATTGGCAGACTGGGTGCTCCTGGATGGGGGTACAGGGTCCCTCAGGACAACTCTTCTCTCTCCACTGAGATTCCCAGCACCCTCACCTGAGCCTCTGCAGCTGCTGGATGTCAGGGTCATGTGCGGAGAAGGTGGCCACAGGGGTCCCTGGGGCCGCCCCCTCAGCCAGACTGGTCCTGAGTGGGTTCTGCCTGAACACCGGGGCTTCATTGACGTCCTGCACATGCACGCTGACCACAACCTGGCCCCGAGTGGCCCTGGGGGCAGCTGCCTGCAGTGGGGCTTCATTCTGCACTGAGACGAGGAGCTGGTAGTGCTCACGACTCTCATAGTCCAGGGGCTGGGGAGGGGGGTGGGGTGCAGAGCTAAGAATTGTGCTGCAACTGCCAGGCCCCCCTCGTGGGACCCTCACCCACCCGGCCCCACCCCAAACAGGGGCCCATCCTACATAGCCCCGCCTACCCATGGGGACCCACCCCAAGCAGCCCCAGCTACATGGCCCACACCACACACAGCCATGCCCACATGGCTCCTCCAACATGGGGACCAGACCCACATGGCCCTGTGCACATGAGATCCTGACCACTTGGTCTCTATCCCGCACAACCCTGCCCCACTGGGACACGCCCACAACAGGACCCTCCTCATAGCCCCTACTTTCCTTCTCTTTAAACCTTGAACAGGGAAAAAGAAATTCAAACAGCACAGAAGCACAGGCTACAAATCCCAGGAACGAGCAGCCCAGGGGTCCATCCAGAATTCGTCATCCAAAACCCACAAGTCCCACAGAGTGGCTGCATTGTCCCAGGGCCAGTCAGCTTGTGGTCACTCCCAGTCCAGTGGCTGCAGCCCTTCCCTTCAATGCCCACCCAGATCCATACTGACCGGTGTGCCCACCTTCACCACAGACAGGACACCTTCATTGGTCTTGGGGTCCGTGTGCACAGTGAACTGGCCATCAGGGTCCCCTTCCAGAATAGTGAACCTGGCCACCCAATTGGGAGAACCAGGCAGGTCTCTGTCCTGCACCTCTAGCCGGCCAACGTCCAGGCCACTGACTGCCTCAGGGGCCTCCAGGAACATCTGGGGAGGCCAAGCACTGGCATCAGTCAGGACAGGGGTGGGAGTGGAACAGAAATTGGGTTGAGAGATTCCCTGAGTCCGAGTCTGGGCCCCTCTGCCCCTCACCTGCTCAGCATACTCTCATGCTAATGGCTCCCTTCTGGCAGGCCCCTGAGAGCACCCCTCTCTCCTTGTCAGTTTTGTGGGAGCCCTGATGGATGGGGTTGGCCACCCTCCCCCAGTGAAAGTCTGGGGAGACCTGTCTTCCCACCCATTTTCAGGGGTTCAGCAGCACTCAAACGCTGGAGCACCTCCATCTCTGGGCCTTTATGCCTACACGGCTTCTGCAGGCTCTAACATGGAGAGAGAGCCACCTGGATGCTACTGCCACACCCCCTCTTGCCCTGTCCAGAGCTGCCGAGGCATGGCACCTGGTCCCTGGTGAACTCAGGCGCGTTGTCGTTGATGTCATCCACAGTGATGATGGCCGAGGCAGTGGCCGTGAGCCCGTCCCCAGACATGTCTGCCACCTGCAGACTCAGGTTATACACAGCAACTTCCTGTGGATGAGGACAGTGTGAGGAGACCAGGACTCGGGGTCCAGGGACCCGCAGGGCCCAAGTGTCGTGCCTACTTCCCAGAGCACCTGCTGCCTGGCGTCAGCAAGGGCCTCCTGGAGCATGCTGGGGAGCATCTAAGAAGCACCTGCTGAGTGCAGGGCACCACCTGACCTCGGAACGTGGCAGAAAGATGAAAAGACCCAGAGCACACAGTATCGGGAGGCCATGGGCAAACCCAGTGGGCTCTCTGGAGGTGGTGATGTCAGTACAGGGAGCCAGGCAGCTGTGGCTCGAGGTGGTCTTGGGAGGAGATGGCCAGTGCAGAGGACCCATGGCAAGCTACTAAAGAATGCTCAGTCCCCAGGGTAGGAACAAGTGTGGGGTGCTGCAGGCCGCTTGGGAAAGGGATCTCCTTCCTGTCCAAGGGTCTGTTGGCGGTGTCATGTGACCTATGCAGTCAAGATGTCATTGTGCCTCATCCCGCCCAGGGGAAACTGAGGTCCAGGAGGTCATGAGACTGTCCACAGGAGGTGAGCGGTCAGCTCGGTCGGAGTCTAGGGCCCCACACACCCTCAGGAAGTTGGCAGCACTCGGCCGCCTTCCTCCAGTGGGGTGGACACCCCCAGCCCTGCTGCCTCACCTCACGGTCCAGCCCCACTTGCACTGTGCGGATCTCGCCTGTACTCTCCTGAATGCTGAAGAAGCCAGGGCCACCTTGCGCCAGGATGGAGTACCGCAGGGCTGCATTCTCGGTATCCGGGTCATCCGCATCCGTGGCCTCCACCCTCATCACCAATGTGCCTGGAAGGACAGGGGGTGTGGGGCGGAGCCCAGCAAGGGGCGGAGCCCGTGAGGGGAGGGGCCTGCTGGGGGAGGGCAGAGCACACCGAGGGGCCGTGCCCTGTGAGGGGACCTGCTGGGGCTGATGCCTAGGGAGGGGCGGGTCCGGCAAGGGGCCAGTCAGTGCCCAGCGATGGGGCAGAGCCTGATGCGGGGCTGTGTCCAGCTAAGCGGAAAGGAGGGAGGTCTCAGAGAGGTATAGTTCTACGGAAGCTTTGGGCTATGGATTGAAGTGTCCCCCCAAATATACTGAATGCAGCGATGTAATGTCGAAGATCTAGGATGTTCCCCACGATTGAAGCAGTTGTAGAAGAATTAGGTGAAATGCAACCCTTAATCCCATCACAGCCCTGACCCCGAGTGAAGGGACAGTCCCTGGACTGGAGTGTAACAACTCTGTTCCATGAAGATGAGAGGGCCAAAAAAAGGGGCCCTCAGGAGCTTCGTGAAAGGACCTCCAGGAGTGGAGAGGGTCCTGGACTCAGAATCATGCTGGGAAGTTCCTGGCCAGCAGGGAAGGGAAACCCCACCAACCATCCCAGATGAGGGCACACACCAGGACCTTGCCCCACATCCGACAAAGGGCCTTCCTCTGGGGCTGGCACTGAAGCTGCCCTTTGAGCTTCTAAACTGTGAGAGAATAAATTCCTCTCTTCAAACAAGAACGGAGAACTGAGCCAGTGCCAGCCAGGCGTGCTCCAGCACTCCCAGAGAGGGCCCCTCCACGTGGAACCCGAGTTATCAACCTGAGCCAGCAACATCCCGTGGACCAGGTGAGTCCGAATCCTATGTGACCAGAGGTGCAAAGAGGAGAGGACTGGGCTACATAAAGGTAAGGCAGCTGTGCAGACCAGCAGCGAAGGACACCAGCGTCCCAGTAGTCAGAACCGCAGGAGGGGATGGGGCTCAGTCATCCCACCAATGCGGTCCTGCCTCCAGGCCCATGCCCTTTAGAGCTGCCCACGGTGGACCCATCACAACACCAAGGAGACTAAGACACCTGGCCCCCGACTGGACTCGGTGATCCGTTCTTGTCATCGCTCACATTGCCGATTCCAGGACACTGAGCCAGCCCCCTCCACCCCTGCAGTCTCCCTCATACCCAGGACAGGGTCAGGGCCTCAATCATGCCCACGGAGTGGGTTCTAACTCGCAGCAGCCTTGCATCAGCTTCCCAGGCTGTAAATCATTCCCTTCTTGAGAGTAACTAGTAGATTCGAACCACTGACTTTAGGGTTAGCAGCCCTACACATAAAGTATCCAGGTCCACGTATGCCACATATGTGAACATGACATCAAAGCCCTGACCTGTCTTATATAAGGCAGGAGGAGAGGGGATGGACACAGACAGACACACTCTCCCTCCCTCCCTCTCTCTCCACACCTGATGCCATTTTTCTGACTAGACATAGGACAGGCTGGCCCCAGGTCCCTGGACCCTACAAGCTACAGAACTCAGCTAGCTCTGACCCTTGTGAGGTGGGAGTCCCAGGCCCCTGGAGGTCAGAGGGGGCCTCTGATGCTTCCTGATCATCTGCTCTGAGGCAGGTGGTCACCCAGGGGATGGTGTCAAGGGCTGGACCTGTGTCCTGAGCAAGTCCAGGCACTGAGTCTCAGATGAGTGTGTTAGCTTTGCAATGAAAACATGGAGCTAAGTAGCAGCTACAGGGGGCTGCCGCCACGTGGTCACTGGGTGTGACAGAACGCAGGTGTGGACCAGAAGGGGTCACTTCAATGAAGGGATCCATCTACTGCTCCTCCCTCTTATTCTGGGGTTTTTTTTCCGCTTTGAAATTGAGGCGGAAGGCGCAAGCATCTCCATTAACTTCAGAAAAAAGATTGCCACATAGAGATCGAAGACTCTTATCTGGGGACCCTCTGAATTACCTCCAAAATTCTTAAAGAAGTTTCTGGGCCTCTGACCTGCCCAGCCCCTACTGAAACATCCCTCCCCTTCTGGGAGCTGGTGGGCAGCCAGGTGTCCAAGGGTCCCCCCTCACCTGGGGCAGCCCCCTCCAGCACATGGCCAGTGAACATTTCCTGCTGGAAGACTGGTCGGTTGTCGTTCTGGTCCACCACCACGATCTCCAGGTCTGTGGGGTCCTCCAGGGTGGATCCGCCCAGGTCCAGGGCAAAGGCCCTCAGCTGGCCAAGCAGAGAGCAAGGGCTGGCACTGCGGGCCCAGCGCTGGTGGCTCTGACAAGTCATGCAAAGGGGTCCTGCCTCAACTGAAGACCACCGGCCTAAGTAGATGGGGACAGGCCCTGGGCGGAGCGCATGCCAGGCCACGTAAGGCTTTTCTCTGAAGAGCCAGCCTGCCTTCAGTGGGCACATGCCTTTCATTTTAAGTGCTGCTTTCATTTCTTGCTTTGGCTGCCGAAAAGCTCACAGCTACATCACTGCCCTACTGAAGGGATGCTCACGAGGGTCCCTCCTTCTGGGTGGTCTCTGTCCTCTTTTGTTCCCCAAGGCACAACAAATTTTAAGTCTGCTCCCTGTTTTATGGGCATAATTTTCAGGGACAAAAAAGATACTGTGTATTTTCACACAACTCCTAAGGCAAACAGCACAGCCCCTTCAATCCACTGGTGCGTGTGCAGTGCGGGTGTTATCTGTGAGAGCAGAAAGGGGCCTTCCCCAAGCTCTCAGAGGAAGGTTCAGGATGTGCAGAAGGAAACGTCACTTTCTAAAGAAGCAAAGGTGGGAGATGGCATTGTCCAAGGCCAGCACAGAATGACATTTCAAGCATCCAGGCTCGGGTAGGCAGGTCCTGTTCTAGGAGGGAACTCGGAAAGGGTTCCAAGCTGTGCAAAGTTTAGTTGGGCTTCACAACAACTTAAAGAGTTCAGCCCTTAACACCCTGCCTCTTCTCACAGCCCCAGGCCCCAAACCCTCCGGGGAATGGTCTCCTGCCTGTCCCACCTTGATGCTGCTATCACATGGTAATGCTGGCTTCATCTCACTGGAGCTACCAGGATTAACAGGGAGGCGGCTGAAGGGCAAATCTGGACACCCATTGGAAACCTGGTCCTGCTGTCTGCCCATAGCCAGTTGACTCTTCTGTGCTCCTGCCTCCCGCCCCCATTCAACTTGGACCCTGGGAGGGGCCCACCCTGGAAGGGAGCCCACCCTGAAGCGGTCCGTCTTCTCGCGGTCCAGCATGGCGTTGAGGAACACCTTCCCTGTGAGCCTGTCGATGGAGAAGATGCCCAGCGGCTCCTTGTCCACACCAGGGCCCTGGATACCGTAGATGACACCGCCCAGGGGCTGCTTGTCCGATTTGATCTGAGGGTGTGCCCAGACATCAAGGGCCATCCAAAGCCTCAGGCCCCTTCCCAGCAGAGAGACATGGAGGTCCAAGAGGCCCCAAGACCCCCCAGAGCTATGCTCCAAGGATAGGCCTTCTCTGGTTACTCCCGGGATCTCTGCATCCTGGTCTCTAGGGACAGATTTGAGGGCAGTACTTGAAGGTGGATGCCTGCTGCAGATTGCACACAGGACACGCCCACATGGGAAGTGTCCACCTGGAGAGTGTCCATCTATTATTGTGTCCACTGGTGAGTGTGTCTACCTAGGGGTGTCCACCTGGTAGCACAACCCTTGGGGATATGGGTACCACCTCTCCCAAGTGTGGGCCTTTCTTCAGCCTAGACTCAGGCAGTGTTCCAGCTCCCACAGGACCCTCTGAGCTCTCAGATGTTGTGTGCCTGGCGGACCCTGGGAGGCCTCCTCACCTGCACCAGGGGGAAGGGGACCCGCTTGTGGTTCTCAGACACGCTGATGGGGGGGATGACCCAGGCTCTCCGCACGCGGCCCAACCCAGACATCTGGTGCCAGGGGAACAGGATGCTGGGTCTCTGAGGCCCAGGAACCTCCGTAGACAGGCTGAGGCCCTGCAGCAGGACAGACACAATCACATGACCACCACCCAGCGCCTGCCGTCTGGCCAGGCCCATGTGCTGACCTTGGCCATGACCAGGCTGGCCCCTTCCTCAGAGTCTGTGTGGTCCATTCCCTGGAAGACTGCCCTCAGCCTGTCTCTCCCCTGACCGGGGCCCAAAGCCCAGGATTCAGAACAGCTTGACAGGGAGGGGGACTCCAGATTCTGCACAGACCCCCAGCAACAGGACATGCCGCGAGTGCTGGGTCCCACAGGGGCCCTCAAAGATGACTCTGCTGCCGGGTGGCCACTGGAGGCCACACTCAGTGGGCCTTGGGGGGAGGCTCCCAGCAGGGGGCTGAGTCCAGAGTGTCAGCTGCCAATGAAAGACAGCTGGCAGGGGACTCAGGCCATTGGGCCATGGCAGCCGCTCCCAGAGGGCTCTGTGCTCATGGACAGTGGGTAACAGGGCTGATCCCAATGACTAGTCCTGTCCAGCTAGGGTGGGTGATGGTCAGAGAGGCCAGGCCAGTGAAAGGCCTGCATGGACTGTCTTGAGGGGTCAGATGGACTCAGCAGCTCCTCCCAGGTGTCAGGTATTGGGGTGAACAAGTGGTTGTTTCCATCCCTGGAAGCCAAGGATGCTGGTATACACCCCTCCCTCCCTCTATCCCCAAGGCCAGGGGTGGAGTCTGGGTGCAGGACAGGGCTGGTGGGAGCTGTGTGCCCCCCTCTCACACCATGGCCCTGACCAGGCTGAGTCATTGGCTGGGCCTGTTGGTAGCTGGAGGCCAGGTAGAGCCCCTACCTCTGCAGCCACGTCCTGGCCACAGAGGAACTCAGCGATGGCAGCTATGCAATAGAACCAGCACCCAAGTACAGCCACTGTTGCATGACAGCCCAGCAGAGGGGCCTGGGGCCTGCTGTTAGCTCTCTGGCTGCCCCTGTCCTGGAAAACTCACTTCAGGCCAGCAGATGGCAGCTCAGCCTTGAGACATGGTCAGGACGGCAGTCCTGCAGGTGTGTGTGCTTCTGCCAGAGGGCCCGTTTCACCATTAGCACTTCCCAGAGTGGGCGCAACCCGTTTGTCTGTCTGTCCCTCCTGCCATCTCTCTCTCCCCCTCCATCTCAGTCCTGAAGGCCCTGTTAGAAGCTGGCTAGAGGGCCCGGTGGACAGTCCTCTCACTGGACAAAGCGGCAATGCCAGGAGCTGTGGCCCCAGGAAGTGAGGTCCCAGGAGACCAGGCCATGTGCCCCGGCCACACGGGAGGACATGGCTGAGGTGGTTCAGTGTGCAGAGCCCAGACCGCACCCCCCCCCCCCCCCCCCCCCGGCCATCACAGAGCAACATGCTTTCAAAGAAGCCAATGACCAATTCCCAGTGTGGCTGCCAAGACCTTGGGGTCCACCCTCTGGCAGAAATGTCCACCCACCCGTACAGCCCTCCTTCCCTGCCCCACCCCCCAGCTGCTCGGCGAGGGGCCAGCATGGCCAGCAAAGCCTGGGAACCTGGGCCCTTGGCCTGTTCACAGCCCAAGTTCACAAGGTGGCTGGAAACCACAGTTCCTTGGCCAGGCAGCTGCCCAGATCAGGGGTTGTGGCTGACAGGGGTGGATTGGCAGGGTCTCGGCCACTTCTGGCCCCCAGGGGCCTTTGAGGAGTCTGCTCTTTGTCACATCTCCCATTCCCTTGGTCCAGAATCTAGCTGACATGGGGTGGGGGCTTGGCACAGAGGGGAGCATGCTGGAGGGTGGCATTCAGGCCAAAGCCACATCAGCAAAGCCAGCTCTTAGACCCCCAGCATCCGGGACACAGGGACAAAAGCATCCTTGAGAACAGAGCTGAGTGGACACAGGACATGTCCCAGGCAGCACTCTCTGTCCCCAACTAAGCCACACTTCCCAACACGGAGTGACATACTCTCAGCTGGGCCTCAGACCTGCCCGTAACCAGGAGCACAGAGGCCACCTAGACCTTCAGACATCAGTGCCTGTGCCCTGAGCCTCGCTGGGTCTACCTCAGCCCCCGGTCCCCAAGGAACTGCAGACAAAGGAACCCTGAGTCCCCAAATGTCCAGGGCCATTGGTCACCAGGGGGCTGTTACCTAGAGAGGACATGCTCCACAGCCCGCAAACTAGCCCCTCCCATGCTGCAGCAGTCCCCAAGGGAGAGTGGGGGCGCCCGACAGTGAGAGCCAGACCACGTGTGAGCCCTGTCATGGGGACTCAGTTCTCAAGATGGCCCGCATGTCCACTGTCCACGCCTGCAGACAGGCCAGCCAGTGGCCCTGGAGAACACCAGCACATGAGGACAGTCACAGGCCAGAGCTCCTGGCCAGCACCCTTTGATCCACTGCTGGCTCCATTTTGACTAGTGAGAGAAGGCCAGTCAGTGGACGAGCACTGCCACCTTCTACTCAGGCCTCTCCCCTGCCCCCACAGTCCCACGGAGCCCCCTCAGGGTTAGGTCTGGATGGAGCGGGGGAGCTTCCATGTGCGGTGTGTCCCTTGAAGACATCTCAGGTCCGGAACAAGGCATTGCCGGCCTGTGGGGCTCAAGTGAGAGGCCGGCAGCTCTGTCGTCCCTATGCTGACAGGGTCCTGGGCTGGACAGTGGACTGGTGCTCACACCCTGCCCTTCCCTTTTGGTTGGTCACCCTCTTAGGGACTCAAGGCCAATCTTGGGTCTCCAGGCCGAGTGCGGTGAAGAGAAAGACAAGGCTCGGGGAGTCTTTCCTGGCCTTCGTGGGGGTCTTTGTGGGATCCAAGAGGCAGGACAGTGTGTCATTCTACCAAGGCAGCGTGGGGAACAACGGGTTTTCAAAGTCCAGCCAGATGTTACTTGCCAGCTGTCTCAGATTCTAGGAATGGTTGTGGGGCAGGGTGGGGTTTGCCTGGGAGTGTCCTGCCCCCAGCACCTGGGAGAGGCCTGAGATACCCCTTGAGGAAACCCAAGCCTGGTCTCTCCCCTTCTGCTGGAATCTAGGGCCCCAGCTCCTGGACACCCAGTTGGAGCCAGGCATGCCAGGAATGGGCAGCTGTCAGCCTGGCCCAGCAGAGACCTCTGAATGCTTCGCTCCTCCCGCCCCAAGGCCCACCCATTCCAGCTGCTGCTACTGCAGGACCAGAAGGGGCTGGGAGGGCAGCTGCCCCCTCCCACAGAGATAGCTGCAGACCACCAACACAGCAGTCATCCTGCCCAGCCCCCAGGGAGACCCCAGACCCCAGGTAACTTGTTCCCTGGAGTCAGGAGTCTCTGCTGCTGCAGGTCCTCCTGGCTAGCACTGGGGTCCACTAACCTTAGTCCAGGCAAGCACTCTGCCAAGCACTCCACCCCCTGTGTCTCCCCCCCCCAAAAAAAAATGCCCAACTGCTCCTGCTCTGGCCAGCCACACTCCCATGCTTTTACCACCTCTAAGGTGAGGTCCTGGCTAAGGTGCAGTTCCAGGTACAGGGTAGGGACCCTGAGGTCCCCTGGGCTGGTGGACAAGGCTGGTGGCAGCCTCACTGGGCGGGGGCAGGGCTGCTTGGAGCTCCCTGCTGGCTTTGGTGGTCATGGAGGTAGAGGAATTAGGGTGAGGGGAGAGGGAAAGACTGTAGTCTGAAAGTGGAGTTGGAGGAAGGAGGCGGAGGGTCCTGGCCCTCATATTTCAGCCGGCTGGAGAGGCCTCTCACACTACTCCAGCAGAGTGCAGGGGCCAGGCCCCCACCAGCTCTCCACGCTCACTGACTCCCGCCAGCTGTTCGGATGGGGGTAGTGGGGAGGCGCTTTGTAATAGCCTGAATGGGTGGAAAGGGTGGAGGGAGACAAAGAGATAGCCAGCAGGCTCCAGACCCCAGCAAACGACCCACAGCTTTGGGAACCAGGGGTTTTACCAGCAGGGCAGCCAGGCCACAGGAAGGGGCAGCCCCCAGGTGGGATGGGTGACTCTCACTGTGGTCCCAGTATTTTGTGGATGTGGATCCCAGGTTTGGGCATCAGGATGGTGGTGCAGGTACCCAGAATGTGGGACCAGGCTCCCTTTTGGAGCCAGCCCCACTGTGGAGGGGCAGCTCACAGAAGCATGTGGTCAGCAGGCAGGGTAGAACCACCAGATGAATGATGGGTGCTTGGCTTTTCTGGGGACTAAAGGGTTGGGGAAGCTCCAAGGCTGGGCACTGGGCAAGGGTGTCCACTGATGCCTGCTCACCTGTGGCTCCATACCCCTCCATAGCTAAGTCTCCCCTGCCCACCCTGTTCCTTCTGCTGATGAAACCAAATGAAATGAGGGCAGTCCACCTCTCCCAGGGTGGTAGACTAGCTGGTAGAGGGGCAGAGAAGGTGCTTGTGGTCCTCTGGGAGGAAGCCTAGCTGAGTCCTGTGTTCAGGTGTCACTGACTCAGCCACACCCCCTGAGGGGAGGGAGCCACCTGGGGTCTCTGCCCAGTGGTGACTTGGCTCTGTCCAGGGAGGGCCCTCTTCCACTGTACCTCTTCCCAGGTCAAGTGCCAGGATCTGGGGTATAGAGAAAAGCTGACGGCAGACCAGCAGGTCAGGGGATGAGGAGGGGCTGCAGATGGGCACAGAGTATGGACAGCCGCTGGGGGCAGGGCTCAGCAGACTCCCAGTGGAACAAAGCCCCTAACTGGCCACCACCCCCAGCCCAGGGCAGGTGCGGGTTCTTCAGGACACCATCCCGGGCCAAGGAGGGCTGCGTGCCAGCCTGGACCTCAGGAGTGATTCCTCAGAGAGAATCCTGGATCCAGCTCCTGGGGGTAGAGGGTGTCTGTCTGCTTCCCCACCTGAGCCCGGCAGGGCTGAGGGGATGCCTAGGTCCCACCATTCCAAAAGGCAAGGAAAGCTTACTCAACAGCCCCTGTGTGTACTCTTAGGCTCCATCCTGGCTCCCCCAGTTTGGGGTGACTCCACCAATTTCGCCTGCACCCTGGTCCTTCTGGCCTTTAGGCCGGGCCCTTCAGGGCGCCCTAGTTAGCGCTACTACACCCTAGCAGCTCCCACTTTAGTTCACGACTGCCCTGAGGATCCGAGAGGAGCAAGATCTCCCTCGGGATGCTGAGCCTTACCTGGACCAGCAGCCCAAAGGCTAGGAGCAGGGGGATGTCCATGAGTTCCCTGAGGTGAGTGTCTGCACGTCTCCTGCTCAGACCGAAAAGAGTGCCGGCCAAGATGAGTGACAGCACAAGTGCGCGAGGGCCAGGGGCCTTGACAGCACGAGGGCGGGCGGGCCCTGGGCGGGGCCTACAATGAGTGACAGCGCAAGTGCGCACGGGGCAGCCAGCACGAGCGTGGGCGGGATCAGAGAATGATTGACAGAGCTAGTGCGCTCCAACCTGACACAGCACGAGGGCGAGGGGGTGGGGATTGGGCGGGGCCAGGGGCTGAGTGACAGCACAGATGGAGAGCTTGGGACCTTGACGGGGCTGACCAAGTCTGGAGCAAGGGCTGGGTTGGGTCAGAGGATGAGTGACAGCACTCACATGTGTTTGTGGTTAGGGGCTTCATTAGGTGGAGAAGGGCCTGAGTGCCAGAGGCGGGGCCAGGGATGAGTGACCTTGCATGTGCATGCCCTGTGGGAAGCCTTGACCTCACAAGGGCCAGTGGGGAGGGGCCTGAGGAGAGGCCTGAAAAGATTGACAGCAAGTGCTCTCCCTGGGGTAGGGGGTAGAACAGGACCAGGTGGGGCGGGGCCAGGGCAGGGCTAGTGAATGACCGCTCATGCGCTTGAGGGTGGAGTCAGAGGTGACAAGTGGAAGAACAAGGCGGGCTAGTGACCACGTGCTGCCACTTGAAAACTAGGAGGGCACGTGTGCAGGTGGGGCTGTGAGGAAGAGGAGGGAGCAAATGGCAGTACCCAAGTGGGCGTGGCTGCGAGGAAGGGGCGTGGCCTAGCTGGCTGTGCGGTGGCGATTGGGAGCTCCAGACACGTGGGCGGGGCGGGGTGGAGGGGGCCAGAAGGCGCTCAAGCGGGGTGCACTCCTGGGTGGAACCTCTGTCCACTCGCACCTGGGCTGCTCCACCTCTCCACTCCAGCTGTTCACGCCTGCCACCTTCTCCATGGGCGCAGGAAGAGGCTGAAAGTAGATTTGAGGACAGTCCAAGGCTCTTTCCACTTCTCCCTCCTAATAGGAACCTGCCTGCCTCTTCCAGGGTCTCCCAAGCATAGAGACGCTTCTGGAGTTGGGGAAACCCACACTGCCCACCACAGCCTTAGGATCCATCAAACCAAGGAGAAGGTGTAGCCTGTGTCCAAGCACCTTCACAGATGTGTGTGTTTGCACGTATAAAACTGAACATGCATGTACTAGACTGTATTGTGTGTGCATGCAAAAACCACATGCACATATAAGCTTGCCTGCATGTGAATCACATCTATGTGAGCGTGCAAGACTGTGTGTGCGTAACACTCATCGTGTGTGCGCATAAGACCTGGTGTGAATGTGTAAACACACGCATCGTGGGATGAGCTCAGGAAGCCACAGGGCAGACCCTTTGGCCAAGGGCCAACTAAGCAGACCGTGGCCCAGCAGGCAGCAGAGTCATTTGAGCCCAGCACGGTTCACCTGGTGATCTGTTTATCTGCACACACAGACATGTCACACCCAGGAGTAGCAGCGGCTCTGCGGGCAGTGCTGCAGGAGGCAACATCCCCCACCTTCTGCTGGCCTAGGCCTCTCTGCTCACACACGCAAGTCATTCCAGGCTCAGCTCATCCTGGGGCCGGCTGATGGTGCAGCCTCGACATTACTGGGCCCTCCTGAGGCAGCTGGAATGAGATCCGATGTCTCCAAGGTCCTTCTCCCCCACTGGGTAGTCTTTGGGGGACAAGGGCACACCCCTCACCCCCCTCCCTCAACATCCATCCTGCCTTGAGTAGGCTCAAAGTTCATGTGTGCATGCATGGGGCGGGGGGGGGGGGCGCTGGAGGGCAGACGAGGAAAGGCCTGTGGACTGTGCTGGTTTCTTTGGAGCACGGAGGGTTCTGCAAGGCCCAGCACTACCCCCAGGCTTCACTGGTCACCCCTCTCTGAGGCCTCTGCTCTCTCCAGATGGCCCGGCAATGGTGTAGGTGTGGGCACCATCTGTGCCCGTGGTGTCCCTGGAATGAGGCCAGGATTGGAAAGGAAGGGCGGGCACAGTTCTCCAGGTGCAGAGGGAGAAGAGACATTTCCTTCCCAACCTGGGGCACTGTGACTGGGCAGTGGCCCGCGGGGACCTCAGAGCTGGGGTGGTCTAGCCCTCTTACCTTTTTGGGGTGCTTGCTTCTTGGCAGAGGTGTGATAAACAAGTTCAAAAGCACTTCTCTTGCTGCAGAGGGGACCTCTTCCCCATGCTAGGTGCCACTGAGCAGACTGTGACTGTTTCCCTGTGGACGATGGACTGGAGCACGGTCCAGTGCTGGGCCGCTGTCTGAGCTCATCACAGCCACTGCGTCAGTCTAATTCCTGAAGGGTCTTCCTTCTCGCTGACTCTCTAGGCATGCTGTCCTTCTCTGGCGACTGCGCCCTCTGATGACACGCTCAGCCTACGTGAGTCGAAGTCGCAACGTCTCTGCGTCTGAGGAGCACTCTGGCCGCACTTCCTCCAAGATAGAGTTGTCTGTTCCTTTGAAGTCCACTGTTGATTATTCAACAGTCTTCACTGACACTGTAATTGGAAGGCATTCTCTTGGTCATATTTGTTACCCAGCTTTTACATGTATATGAGGTGATTAAAAGATGCCGGTGGGCCGGGTGCACGTCAGTCCTCACACTGACATTCTCGCTTTTCAGCTCTTAAAAAAAGTCTCTGAAGATTGGCCCAATGCAAACTCCCTGACCGCTGCTCCCATGGACACTGCCTGTGGATCCAAATAAAGAGAAATCTTAGGCAAGTGCAGCCATTTGTTAGGTTGATGTTCATTGGTCCCAGTTGTGAGGACTTTTATTCACTGACATGTAATCCTATACAGACCTGCCAATACCACTATCTTTCAAACATACACACCACAAACAGCAAATGCTGGCAAGGTTGTGGAGAAACGGGAACCCTTATTCACTGTTGGTGGGAGTGTAAAATGGTGCAACCACTGTGGAAGGCAGGATAGCGCTTTCTCAAAAAGTTGGAAATAGAGATACCATTTGACCCAGCAATTCCACTACTGGGAACACACCCTAAAGAAACAACTGCCACCCAAGCATATCTATGCGCACCCATGTTTACTGCGGTTTTGTTCACAATAGCCAAGATATAGAAACAATCCAAAGTGCCATCAACAAATGAATGGATAGAGAAGCTGTGGTATATACACACAATGGAATACTATGTTGCAATGAAAAACAAGGAACTCATGAAATATTCTACAAAATAGGTGACCCTGGAGGACATTATGCTGAGTGAAATACCTCAGTCACAAAAGGACAAATGCTGCATAGTGTCACTATTGTAAAGTGGGACTGACATCAGGGTTGAGGGGGAAACTAAGTGGGGATCAATAATGTATACTGCATTGAAACAGATGAGGGAGAGAACCGTTTAGGAGGAATATATGATTAGGCATTACATCAGGACAAGAGTCCAGAATGAAAACTGCACAGTGGAGTGGACTGGGGTGCCAATGATTGTATAACAATGAGAGAATCTTTTTTCTTTTTACTTTTCAAAGACAAAATCAAACCAGGGGAAAGGGTAGGCAGGGAGGAAAGTGTACAACAATGAACGAGTGTAAATTCAAAGTCTCTGTAAACTTTCATTAAAAGAAATTTTAAAAAACCCCACACACATATGCACCAACAACCAGAGCCAAAGAGGAAGAAATAGAAGATTTCTACTGCCTTTTGCAGTTGGACATTGACTGATCATATAATCAAGAAGCTTAATGGGTGACTGGAATGCAAAAGTTGGGGACAAGGAAGAAAGATGAGTAGTTGGAAAACATGGACCTGGTGACAGAAATAAGGCCGGAGATAGAATGATAGAATTCTGTACAATCAATGATTTATTAATTGCAAATACATTTTATAAGAGACACAAATGACCTCTCTTGGGCCCTCGCTTCCAACATGACAAAGAAAAGGAAAAACAACGGTCCTGCAAAAAGGACTGCGGCCGCGTGCAGCCTATTCACTGCCCGGACCACGCCCACTGCGTGCCCAAAGACAAGGCAATTAAGACGTTCATCATTTGAAATATAGTAGAGGCAGCTGCTGGCAGGGACGTTTCCATCAAGGGCGTCTTGACACATATGTGCTTCCAAAGCTCTGTTTGAAGTTGTGCTTTTATGTGAGCTGTGTCCTTCATAGCAAGGTGGGGAAGAGCTGCTCTCCTGAAGCCCAGAAGGACAGACATCTCTACCCAGAGGGAGACCTGTAGGTGCTGCCTTGCGACCACCACCAAAGCCCATGGAAGGATCTGATTCCTTAAAGGTGCAAGAAAAAACTCATCCGAAAAGAAAAGAAAAAAAAACCAAAAACCAAATCACAAATGGCAGCTATGCACATGGCTCTCATCTGAATCATAGGAATCAGACTGATTACACCTACAGAAAGAAATCACTGGAGACGCTCCTCACTAGCTGTGAAAACTAGACTAAGTGCTGACTGTGGAACAGACCATCAACTACTCACATGCAAAATCTAACTAAAGCTAAGAAAATGAAAGCAAACCCACAACCACCAAAATTCAACTTTAAGACTATCCCACCTGAATTTAAAAACCATCTTAAGAACAGGTTTGAGAGGGAGCTCTGGTGGCCTAGTGGCAAGAAGCTGCACTGCAATCCCAGAGACACGTGGTTCAAATTCACCAGATGCTCTGCTGAAGGAGGGACAATCTCCTCCTGTACCAGTCAGATCCGATTTGACAGTACACACACACAAATAATAATAAAAGAAAAATCAATAATAAAAGATCAGGTTTGAGGCCTTGAAGACTAATGAACGAAGACCAGGTGAGCTGTGGGAAGATATCAAGACTAGCATCCAGAAGAGTGCAAAAGGTCATCACAAAGACAGAGGAGGAAGAAAAGACCAAAATGATGTCAAAAGAGACACTTAGGGGAGCTCTGGCGGCCTAGTGGCAAGAAGCTGCACTGCAATCCCAGAGGTACACGGTTTGAATCCACCAGATCCTCTGCCGGAAAAGGAGGGACAATTTCCTCCTGTACCAGTCAGATCTGATTTGACAGTACACCCACAAAAAAATAATAAAATAAAAATTAAAAAAAGACACTTAATATTGCACTAGAGCGCTGAGAAGCCAAAGCAAAGGGAAGAAATCAGGAAGTCAAGGATCTGAACAGATGGTGTCAAAGGGCAGCTTGGGAGGACAAAGCAAAGTATTACAATGAAATCTACAAAGAGCTGGAGTCGGAAAATCAAAAGAGACAAACTTGCTTGGCATTTTTTTCCCATGGCATTTCTTAAGTTGAAGGAAGAGGAACAATTTCAAGCTTCGAGTAACAACACTTTAGGATGCCAAGGGCAGAATACTGAATGATTCAAGAAGCATCAAAGGAAGATGGAGTAGGGAGCTTTGGTGGCCTGGTGGCAAGAAGCTTTGCTGCAATCCTGAAGGTGCACAGTTTGAATCCACCAGATGCTCCGCTGGAGAAGGAGGGGCAATCTCCTCCTGTGCCAGTCGGATCAGATTAGACTGTACACACAAAGGGGGGGGGAGAACATGGAGGGAGTACACAGAGTATCTGTACCAAAAAGAATTGGCTGATACAGAAGAATTTAATGAAATAACATATGACCAAGAGACAATGGAGATGAAGGAGGAAGTTCAAGCTGTTCTGGAGGAGGGGTGGGGGAAGCCCCAGGAATTGATGGAATACCAATTAACATATTTTAACAAACAAATGCAGCCCTGGATATGCTCACCAGGTAGTACCAAGAAATCTGGATAACAACTACCTGGCTGACTGACTGGAAGAGATCCATATTAATACCCATTTCAATAAAAGGTGATCTAAGAGAATGTGGAAACTATTGAACAATATCACTAACATCACACACAAGCAAAAGACTGCAGAAGAATATAAAAAATGACTGCAACAGTACATTGACAGAAAACTGTC